CCAGACATTTTGCTTTCGTAAGCAAAAGCTGCGAGTCTGCCCGCCTCTCCCAACCGCTGTGGACGCTTCGGCTACCTGCTCCTGTGACGCATGCTGCTTGCGGTGTGGCCACATTCAAGCTGCTGAGTCGTGCATAGCAATACACCATCGCTGACTCAATTGCAGCGGAAACCAAGCCGCAACAGAACCTCGCTGCCCATCCTGGCAACTCCAGCGTAAGGCCGCTGTCGTCCTCCAAAGCCTTTGCGTGACTCCCTGACAAGTGCTAGAGCGCGCCGGCTCCGTTGATACCAGCAAGAATCTAATCAGCGCACTGGTTCGAAAAGGGCACTCTTTTCGGGACGCTCCTGCTGGCAACACTGGAGCAGACTGCAGCCTCTACGACCACTCCACTGACAACCGCAGCAAGTCCGATGATGGCCGCACTTGCTACAGCCTTGCATGCCGTCCTTGTGGCGATGGATTCTCCTGTGCGTTGTTTGTGTGCCGTGGCTCTTGCTACGCATGATACACTCAAGGATTCACTTCACAAGTTACTCACACGGAGGTCAACAGACTCCACCATCACGTGAGCACGCCTGACCACCTTTTCTCCTGTGCCAGAAGTTTGGTTCCGCCTTGCACCTTATGCGCAGACTTTTTAAGCGCCATCTAGGCCCTTTTTTAAATTTCTGATTTTACCTGTCAGTGGTTCACTTTCCCCGGCTTTCTCGGTGGCTTTTTCCCTTCAGTTGCTCGTGGCAAATTGCAATTTGAATCTGCAACAAATCCAGAGTCCCTCTTTCTTTTACTTCCATCTTACTCCTCTCCCTTGTGCTCTACTGCTGAGGAGTCCTCGCCACAGAGTTGCGGGGTGCACTTTTCAAACATCCCTCAGCATAGCGTGACTTGTTCAAGTTGGTTTAGAATATCCATTTTCGTTACACTGCACAGAGTTCTGAATACAGATTGTTGCAATGTGGCAATTTACTTGGCAACTCTTCAAGTTTAGTGGGATACATGCTGTCCAGACAGTCATGACCCCAGACTCCAAGAGATTACTTTTATGGCCTCAAGCATAACCTAGCATCACCCATGTGCCATCGTGGCCTACAGCTTGGCCAGAATTCCAAAGCAGACATCTTCTTGACTATGTCCAAACCATTTTACCCATTCACTTATAGCACTCTGCCACACTTGTGGGAAAATGTTGAGCCCTGCCCCCATAGCAATTTATTTTGTCCATCGAAACATCACTTGGATGCAACATACATCCAGAAATTTTACCGACTAGGTTGCTGTGCACTGAAAACATCAAGAATCGATACAACTGCACAGATTACACATCTATTATTGGAGAGGCCAATCAGAACCTTAAAGGACCAACTACCCAGAACATGAAATGCACCCGACCATGGAACCATTTAATTCTGTAAATGGGCACAGATTTTTTAGTTCGTATTAAAATACTGTTAGTTTCTTTATATGAAAATATATTACCCTGTGAAAATGTACACATAGGCCTGCATTAGTGATATGCATTAAATAAGCACTGCCTTCATGTGACGCAACAATCTTATGCTCGTCAATAAAGCTCGAGCCACTTTTCAGTGCCCTCATGCAACTGTGCACAATTTCCAGGACGGTAAGGTTTTAGAAAGACAGTTTTTCGATTTATACTTTGTCTCAAATGGCGTGCATTGCTACTCCGCACGACCATGCATATGCGTAGTGATGTTTTCGGTGACTTGGCTCATGTATCGAAGAGCAACGACGTTGGGACAAGCCACCCACGACTCCAGTGCAGGTGCACACAGCACGTTACAACCACAAAAAAACTGATGCCGCATCATCCAACTTTCACATTTTTGAACTTTCGAATTCACATGAACAGCTTACTTTCATAAAGTAACTGAAAAGCTCAAATTAAAGGTGCTGAAGCATAGTTACACAAACTCCTCCACAAACAGAACGACAGCTTTCACGAATCGCAACAAGGGCTGGCGGCATCGCTATCAGTTGTGAGAGTTGCTGCAGCAAAAATAAATCTGTATTTAGAGCCTTTCAGATAAAAAAATACTGCTTGTGAATTAACTACATGCCTCTGGGATTAACTAATGCAACACAACAATGGGTGAGCTTCCTGTCGCACTGTGAAGAGGGTGGAGGAAATTCACTTGCCCGTGCCTTTAAGGTCAAGCACAGCAAACTGCAGATGTACCACCACTTGAAGTCAAGACGTACATATTTGTCAAGGCCTCACCCTTTTGCCTAGGGTGCACCAACAGTTTTCATATAGCTCATACTAGCAAGGGTACGGTGTAAAATGTCCTATATTTGTGTAAAAATGCATTCAAATGACGTGTCACATTTTATCATTTGAACTGCTGCAAGGCCCAGAGCACATCAATGCAGAAAGAAATTGGAAAAAACTGTAGAACTGGTGACGAAAGCACAGGCAATTTATGATAATTTGATATGTGGGGTTTAACGTCCCAAAACCACCATATGATTATGAGAGACGCCGTAGTGGAGGGCTCCGGAAATTTCGACCACCTTTAACGTGCGCCCAAATCTTCTTTAACGGTTCTTTAACGTGCGCCCAAATCTGAGCACACGAGTATACGACATTTCCGCCTCCATCGGAAATGCAGCCGCCGCAGCCGGGATTCGAATTCGCGACCTGCGGGTCAGCAGCCAAGTACCTTAGCCACTAGACCACCGCGGCGAAGCCACAGGCAATTTATGTGAAAGTTTTTGTGTCAAATGAGACTGTTGTAGCTGTCTTGAGCCAGCATGATCTATTCAATTTTTTAAAGGGGATGTTACATTCCTTGAATTAGGTTATTTGCACGATGTTGTGATAGTTGCAAAAGCATGGTGCCATTATGATGATTACGCTTGCTTCTGCATCCTGGAACCTCGTACATATTGATACTTTACAGATAACAGGGGAGGAACAAAATTGCAATATATATATATATATATATATATATATATATATATATATATATATATATATATATATATATATATATATATATATATATATATATATATATATATATATATAAATTTTAATGTGAGAACACATTTGCATGATATGTCTTTACCAAACATACCTCTTCAAAGAGCCTGCTGTTGCTGACTGATGAGGACAGAGGCCGCAGGCATGACCGGGAAGTGGCAGAGGCCTGCAAACAAAAATGCTCCATCATGACCATTGCTGGAAAATGCTTTTCAAGAGGACATCGACAATGACACTTGTTAGTAACTCTCGTGTAGCTTGCTGCGAAATTCTTGGAAGTGCAAGTACTACCCGTTTGCTAGCGTAGTTGACTAAGGAGGCGGCAGTGCATATCTTCGTTCAGAGATGGCCCCAGCCTCCCAAGATTACTTGCGAGCAGTTTGAAGGTGGGGGCAAATGGGTCCTCCTCGAAAGTGCTACCCACATTAGAACCAAGTAATCGTAAAGTAGAACAGTGCAACCATTTCAAGGCGAGCAATCCAGCAAGGAAGATTCGGGACAATCGCTTCACTGTAAGATGCTGACGCATGTGCTCTGGAAAACGAAAACATAGGCGATTTCAAAATGACTCGCCCTGCATGTGTAACAGACATTACGTGTATTCGCTCATATTAACCTTTAATTATTCAACTATGGAAACTTGGGTAGTTTTTTTTTGGTTCAGTCAATGACCTCTAAACGTACCCGTTATAAGGTACGAAGGGCACGCTGGACATCGCAAGGTGACCACGAGTTAGATGACCAAACGACACGAGAAAATTTCGCCCGCAGCATCCTATTGAACTTCAAACGGAAACAGTACGTGGCTTGTGTGGAACTCCATTACGCACAACGAGAGCCTGGTTGGGCGTGACTATCAGCCCCTGCATAACCAAGAGTACGCGGCATCGGCTAAACCACTGCATTTCGTTAGCGGGATGACTGTAGCGGGATAACGCCAGAGGCGCCCTGCTAGCAGCAAGAGCTAACGCAGTGGGTTCTCGAAGCTGCTTGACGAAAAGCGACGAGTTCGCACGCGTTATAGAAAAGAGAATCACGCCATCCTGAAGATTACAAACGCCACAGTTGGTGAGTCTCATAACGGCACTTTAAGGAAGGACAGACGCTCGGCAGGGTCGTTTCAACATGGCGACTCTGTTGACCGCTTGCTCTTGCAGCAGCTTTCCAGTGCTCTTTTGCGCACAAACTTATGCCGGTAGGCACTACGTTTCCGACAGTAGACTTTCGCGGTCAATGATAGTAAAGTTCCAAAGCCCGAGGTCATTAAAGGTCAGTACTCACCACAGTTCGTGAAACGGGGGCGGCGAGCTTGAGGGCGAACATTTTCGGTTAGGTCCTTGAAGGGCGTACAAAGCTGCAAAGACGAGGCATAATGTATGGAAAAGCGAGGCAAGGAGCTCGAAACAACTCCACCGGATTCGCCAAACACGCAACCTGAAAAGCCGGCAAACGCTACAGACTAGGAATGCTAATCTCAGTTTGCTGGGGTGACCTTCACAGAGAAGCCGGCTCTCGTGAGCGGAGGAGATATAAGCTCGCTCATCAGCAGCTTGCCGGAGATCTGCCTCAAAATTACAGGTGCACACAGTTATTCTCAATATCTGATATACCTGAGAGAGCAGCGGGTCCCGGTACAACCTTCGCCACGGGCAGATTACGACGGATAACTAAAGCAACACTTACCAACCACAACACCCAGCAAGTTCCAAGGGACTGCGCCAACTGCGCCTGCGCGCAGTTTCGGCTGGAGCACGGTGAGCGTAAAAGGCGAGGAAGAAAAAAACTTTTACTTTTTCTATTTTAACCAGTCACACGTTCGAATCAAACTTCAAAAATATATTTTTAGAGTTGATTGTAGCAATTTTCAATTAACCTAATTTAGTAGTTGTTGCAAAGGTTTGACAAATTATTTATACGTGCACTTGTTTCAATCTGGACTTCTTACGTCACACCACCAGCCTAAATCTTAGCCAATGATGGGCGCGCATTCCGGCGCACCGTGCGGCATATCGTCTGCGCCGGTGCACGGGTTGCCGCTTCCCATAAGATGTGAAGCGCTTCGGGCTGCGTACGTGTGATGGCGGTATTCCTAATTAACAATTGCAAATTTAACAATTGCGGCCTGACGTTCCCAACACTGCGAGAGCTCATTTTGCACATCGAAGACACGCACATAGGTATTACCCTTGGCTACATCGAGCGCGCGCTGGGAGACGGCGCGAGCACGCGACCGCTCCACGCCCCGATTTCTCTCAGGTGCATCGCAGAGATGCAGCGAAAAAACTGATGCGGATCACTGCTGCTTCTCTTAGTGCACGCGTCAGTTGGGACGAGTTCGGCGCATCTTGTGCTGCAATTTGATTGCGTGCGCGCTAATTGTCAAACCGAAATTGCAAGAAAGTAGAGAGCTTAATTATCGGTGTCGATTGAGATTATACCTCGTGTGACGCGAGTTAAAAAAAAAAATGTTGCTCTTTCTCCCGCCTGTAGATAACGACCCAAGACTACTCGAAAAGCAAGAACTGCATCCACCTTCGTGCCTTCCTGTCAGCTGCGTCCTTAGGTGGGTACAGTACTACGCAGACGTGATTTTTTTGCTTGACGTTTAACTGTAGCTGTACTCGGTTCCGTCCGTGCTCGGGCATTGATATGTCTGCTGCCAGGCGCAATTCCGAGGCGTTGGAACTGCGTCAGTGTGCGCATTAGATGTGTTATTTTGCACCAGGGACAAAAAAGCACTAGCGTGCGAAGGCGGCCGGCTTTGGCCACGCCGCACTTCCTAGTCGGAAGTGGCTCGCGAGTTTGTCATGGCCGTGCGAGAATCGAGGCACGCCAGATTGACCACATGGCGAGGGGCAAATGTTTCTGCGCAGGGTCTTCACGGAAGGTTCACGCGTGGAGCCACTGGTCCGCAAGAGGCAGCGGACGCTGTCGCCGGCCTCGTCGATCTGCAGCAATACTCCAACAGGTGAATCGCCGGCGGTCGCACGCGGTGCTACATCGAAGGTTGCTGTGCCAAACTGGTGCCGTTGTAGCACCCTCACGCCGGGGCGAATCTACTGCGAAAATTGCCCACGTGCTGTCATGATAGCCACTGCGTGCAGAGCTTGAAGGAGCCCGTTCACTTATTCTTAGCGGATTTACGTTCATTTGGTGTAGCCACCCTTCAGGTTATAGATATTAAAATATAGAGAGAGACAAAAAAAGCGCCACACAGTTTGATGCTCTTGGAAGATTGTTTGTGGTGTGCTTAAAGGCCCCAGGGGCACTCCTTGACTAGCTCCCAAGTTCATTCTCTGCTGTTACACGCGAGGGCACAGGCTAGCATTCCAGTTCATTGTTACATAGTGGGACTGAATTTGTACTTACTCATTCACGATGCATTGAGGGCACAATAGGAAAAAACAAAGGTTAACTCGGCAATCCTCTGTTGCACTGGGAGGCTCAGCATTTTGTTCAACCATGGGTATTTTTTTTTAATTGATCGAGCACACCTTACTGTCCAAAACTACCATGTAAGCGACAACTACAGGACAGGTATTGTGAAGTTTTTAAATATTTTCCTGAATGCAAGGTAATGAGACTATCAGCAGTTTTATGTGTAAAACATTTTTGGCAAAATCGATGCTTGAAAAATGTGCATGATGGGAAATTTATTTATTTATTTACAGATACTGCTGTCTCGATACACGAGACATAGCAGAAGTGGGTACATTAGGAAAAGGAACGAACATACATTAAGCAATACCAAAGAAACATACAAAGCATTTAAACCATATTACAAAATATGGTTAGGCAGTTCTTTCAAAAACAGTTCAATTGATTTTTCGCATAGGGAACCATCTAGGTTGTTCCAAATCTCAAGAACGGCTCGAAAAAAGGAATGCGTAAAGCAATTTACAAATGGCTGGAAGGGAACAATGTTGAGTGGGTGAGATCGGCGCGTGATTCGAAGTGCTAAATCACAAAAAGTAATCGGTGCTTCAATGCAACTGCGGCTGTGTACAATCTTATGTAGCAGAGTAATACGGTCAAGTGTGCGTCGGAAAGCAAGGGGTTCTAACGACAATGAGCATGCGTGAGATGAGGGAGAAAAATTGCAGTCATACCGGCCAAATATAAATCGTATTGCTTTTTTCTGTATGCCCTCGAGCATATTTATGTCAAGTGCAGTATAGGGTGACCATACCGCTGAGGCGTACTCTAGCAATGGTCGGATGAGCGATTTATACGCCGTTAATTTGAAGTCCTTGGTAGAGTGCTTGAGTGTTCGTTTTATGTATCCCAGTTTTCGAAGTGCTCTAGCGCAAATTGTTTCAATGTGATAGTGCCACTTTAGATTTTGAGTGTAGGTAACACCAAGATATTTGAATGTATTAACAGAGTTTAGGTTAATGTCGCTAGAAATGGGGAAAAGTTCATACTGACATACATATGCCTCAGGCAAACATACAAATACCTATATTTGCTGAAGATCCTGGCTGTGGCGGTCAAATTTCGATGGAGGCAAAATGGTAGACGCCCGTACACTGTTCGATGTTGGTGCTGGTTAAAAAACAGCAGATAGTCTACATTTCTGGAGCCTTCCACTGTGGTGACTCTCATAATCATATTGTGGTTTGGGATGTAAAGCCCCAAATATTAATGCAGTGCCATCTACAGAGCTCGTTTCACAGGAATTCCACTGTTGGCATTGTTGGTTATGAGCGAAAAATTGAAGATGTAAATAAAAATTCTGGGTCTGAGTGAGGAACAATTCCGGGTCATTGGCATGGCAAGCAAGTGTTCTTCTACAGAGCCATGCATCTACTTGTGAATGCAGTGAAAATAAATTTCTCTGCTTGGAAATGCAATGAAAGTAACTTGCATGCTTTACAAATACACTCGTCCAGAATACATGCTTCTCAATGCAACTAGTAATATTGCAGTAATAATGCATGGTAAAAAGCGTAAATTGCCATCAGGTGTGAGAACATGCGATTATCACGACTTCATGGTTTAAGGCAGGCCACCCACAAAATAAGTCGCACCCGTTACTGTGCTTTTTCCCTTAAGATCGCATAGTGGGTGCATAGCAAGTTCGAATAGATTTTGCATGCACACTTGAATATAGTTTAAAGCCTGCTATTCATTACACAGAATGCAGCCATATGTGAAAGCTTCACGGACACAAGTCATTTTGAACTCTGCGCACTCTGAACAGGATATCGCTATTGCTTTATACTTTCTAAGGCGAAGCGTAAGGGTCCCCCAATTTTTAATATTATTGGATTTGCTGAGACATTATCCTCGTTGTTCAAGCTTGTGGTGCACATATATTCAAATCCATTTAATAAACATTTCAAAACATTAGATATTATCATCAGCACCATTTTTGCACCTGCTGAGCTTTCAAAATTGTGCATCTGAAAGAATAAGTTGTCGGGCTAGTTGGTCATGAATAACTGGCCGAGTCGTACTAGTGAAAGGTATAAAACAACAAACTCAAGAAAGATGAGCGCTTGCCTTTATAGTCTTTTGTCGTTTTATACCTTGTACTAATAATAGCAGCTGGGGTTTTACATGCTAATGCTACAATATCAATGGGGCAGATGTAAATTGAGGGCTCCTGAAATATGGGCCATCTGGTGTAATTTAATGTGTACAGACATCACGCAGTACATGGTCCTCTCCCATTTCACACCATTAAAGTGAGACTACTGCGGCCGAGATTGATCCTGTGACCTCTGAGTCTACGAATGAACCCAGTAACTGCCCCATCACGGTTCCCTAATATGCCTCAGCAGGTCATGCAACTAGCATTTATAGGCATCTTACTGTGAATTTGTTGGACCCATATGTGAACATCGCATACTTCGGGAACACTCCTGGGAATGAAAGCTTGGATTCTCCCTGCGATAACACTTCCAGTGCAGGGTGGAAGCAAGATGCGAAAACGCCCATGTACCTCTGTGCAGGTCATAAACCCTAGGTGGTTCAAATTAATTTAGTCCACGCCGTAAGTGGAGGCTCATGATTAGATCAGTGTTTTAGCATGTAGAACCCCCTGCTTTATAAAACCGTGGTAAGCCTTGAGACAACCTTTTTGTCAAATATAAATGTCTTGCGACAGATTCCCGGATATATTGAGGGCTACAAGAAAATCTTAGAGCTGTTACAATCTAAAAAGTATGCCAATACTGTGTTTAACTTTACTGAACAAGACTGTATGCCATAAAATGTTGATGACATTTTGGTTAAGCTTAAGGTTGCATTGTTACCTTTGCTTATGATACCCACTGTATTATTTTAATGTCTTAAGATTTTAGAAAACTAAACTTGAAGATTTGGGCTTGATTCCAAGCCATGTTCACTTTGTGTCAGCACGAAAATGCCTCTCTACGTAACTTAAAGGAGTGCTGCCACGTAATTTAAATACTCACAGCTGGTTACTTTAAATAAAAGCACATTTGTCCAGTATCCTAAAAACAGCATCGTGCTTGGGTTACATTTCATGTATCTTTAATTAAGCTACCTCAAAAGTGTGCTTCTTGTTTCGGTATCGAAAAGTTTGCTTCGCCTGTTGCGTCAAGCCGATAAAAAATGAATGGCCTTTGTTGTTACTGTCACATGACATAATGTCACTTCTCATAATAAATATAGCCACTGTGTATTGCCGTAGTCCAAAATCGATTTGGCATTGCCACTTGTGCAACGATATCAGCCCATATCACAGCACCAGAAGGACAGATTGAAGAGACATACTTTAATTGTGTCGCAAGCCCCATTTCCATGTTTAAACACTCTCACGTTTAATTGCACATTTATAGAAAATGACAAGGTACAGTTCAAGTTAGTAACTCCTATGATATTAGCTTCACTATATGTGGTATCATAAACATATATTTATTACATTCCAATATTGAAGAGAGCCCTTCAAAATTTTCTTTGTATGTTCATTTTATCTACAAGTTTGAGTGTGTCGCTTATTGGAAGCCTTTTGATTTGTTGTTCAAAGTGTTGTACTGAAGGGTAAAGTCTTATTCCCGAAGTGAGATTGAAATTCGCAGACACAGGAGTTTGCACACCAGATGGCCGCATTTACGACTGCTCCGATGCACATTTATATGCCAATTCACTCTGAAGTTCAGTGTCTATAGTGCATTGACTTCAAAGACCCGCTCTGAGCTTTCCTTTTGTGTTAGTAGCAAGTCCATGTCGCATGTGTGACAAAGGACAACATTAACTTAGCAACGCCTTAAATTTCAAAGTTGTTTGCATGCGAGAATATTGAAATGCCTAACTTCATTTGCCTAAATGCTAATCGTTACTTAATGCATTTGTCAGAACTCGTTCGACTGAAAAGTGCATATTTTCTGACATCATAGCTTGTGTAGAAGTGCAGTGGAAGTGGAGCATTAGAAGTAGTATCTTGTCCTAATAAAAATACTGTATGTGTAGCTCTTAATTACATCGACAAAAGTTTTACTCGGTGAATGTCTTCAGGATGCCATAGCAAATGCGTAATGTGGCTTTCATCATATTGCTTCTGCAAATACACGTGCAGTTTGATGACTGATACTTAGACATACAATGGCCAAAGTCTCTGCAGCAGCATCATGAAGCTTCGCAACAGACTTAAAGAAACACTAAAGTCAATAACAATTTACATCAAAGTGAAAGCTAAATATATTACAACATTGAAAACGACAATATTATCAACAGCAGTGCCCTACTTACCAAGAAATTAAGGTAAATGCACAAGAATGCATGTGCTGCTGTAGGACATTCTCACAATGATTCCGATGATGTCAGACGAACTGACTACAATTAATCACTTGTAATAGATCTAGCTGCACTACATAAAGAACCTTCCGTGCATCAAGAGACGCAATAAAATGCTGCTTGTTCATTTCTGTTTGCTTCATAGAAAAAAGAACCGCCAGACATTACTATAGGAAAATAGCGCGAGTGGCTCAATAATTCAGTTTTCACGTGGTTAAACTGAACAGGTAGTGCCATCTAGCGGGGCCCAGTTGAACCAAAGCACGTCTGCCATCTCAGAGCCAATGGCAAGAAATTGATCAATGCCGTTGTTGCTGCTGTGGCTCCTGCTGCTTTCGTTCTGCTGCTACTAGTGTCGGTGGCCGCGTAGTAAAGCCGGGCAACGTTGTGCATGGCAACTGGGACGTGATATGTTCTAAATCTTGAGGCGGGTAAATTGAAGTGCGCTACCCTGATGCGGACCTCTAAAACCTGATTGTATTTCAAAATAAGCGCTTCCTTGGCACAAAAGCAACACTACGAGGTTTTCGGACAGCTATTTCAATAATCAACACCGACTTAATAGTTGCCTATAGTGTCCCTTTAAGCTAAGCATGCCATAGCATACTTGTTTTTGTGTAGCACAGTCTAAGAAGGCACAGCAAACTTTTTTTGTTTTAAAGGAGCACTGACAATGAATTTCAGAATTGAGATGTGCTTTTGATTTAATTGCTTCGTATGCGTAGGTCCTCTCGGCCAAATTTGAATCACGTCCATTGCATGCAAGGTATTTTGATTTCAATGGCAAACAGCATGTGAGCGCTCAACGGAAAATGAAGTGCCCAGTTACATTGACACTACTGCGACGTGTTCGCTGTAATACATTTCACACGTACCATCCTGAGTGACAATGCACTAGTAGTGGTGAAGTCTATGATCCGAGCGTTCTTATTGTGACGCCCAGTGGTGCCGAAGCCTGAAAACGCACTCAATCTTTATGTCTCATTTTTGTCTCGCTGCTTCGAATGATTTCATGTAATTACAAGACTCGAACCACCTATAAAAGAATGGCAAAAGAAAAGAGCATAATTCAACGTGTGCTTGTCACTCAGCATGTTGGAGAACCGTTGTGAATGGCACTCGTCTGGTTGGAAGTGCGGAAAACGTGCCATGAGGGTGTCTTTTCATTATACGTATGTTACACGCCAACACAACCACAAGGGATCAAAATGGGGTAGCGTATAGACGAATATCGCTAACGAGTAACATGCAGGTATTGCTTACAGTGAATTCTAGTTCTTCTGTCTTTGCGTCCTCGAAATACCAAGTTAATGCTGCTGCAATCATGAGAGGCTCGATAGGTGGGGCCTTCTTTGGAATTAAAATTGTAGTTTTATTGCTCACACTTGCTTCATAAAGTTTGCTTCTTACTTGCATATGTTACTTGGATCAGTAACGTATGCTGTCGGGCTAGTTGGTGTGTAACTGTGCAGAACATCGCTGGCACAAACTTAAAAGACGTCGAGAGAAGAGACTCGGAAAAGCACACACTCGCAACTAACTTTTATTGAATCGAAGCTCGTCTTATAAAACCCTCACGCATGCGTACAACCACAAGAAGAGACCAACCAGCTATAATCACAATCTATCAGATAGAAAATCAAATTCATTATCATACAATGACAGAGATGAAACACTGATACATTGTTCGCCAAATTGTCTAATAAACATCGCCTCTGCCAATTCAGGTGCCACTTTGTCTTTGCTTCTTAGCAATATTCTCGTACGGTGCAGTAGCGGTTCACACGAGCGTTCCTTACAATGATGCGGCAAATGCGAACCCGTGCCGTTTCTCATTGACAGTGCATGTTTCCTTAAGCAATAGTTTATACAACGGCCCGACTGGCCAATGTACACCTTGCCACAACTGAGCAGGATCAAGTAGACAATGCCTACCAAACAATCCAAAAACTTTCTTTCGTGCTTCTTTAAACAATGAGCACTTGGTACGCCACACGAACGAGCACAAACGTGCGAAAGCCTCTGAGGTGCCGAGAACACGACAGGGACCTTAAAACGAGAGGCGACGTGCTTCAAAGGATGAGCCAGTCTGTGCACATACGGAATGACAACAGGTCGCTTCTTCTGTGTTTTTCGCTTCTGTGGTTTCATAATAATGAAATGTTTCAGGGGCGTAATCTTAACAAAATAGTCTACTGCCGTTCCGAAGCTTCTCAAACAGTATCAGCGTAGTTTGCACTGAGAATTACTGACAGTAAAATGGGGCGATAACAAAACATGAGTAGAGAATGTCGCAATATTGCTCCTTTATCAGTAACTTCCAATTATACATGTTAATTTTGTTCTGATTCTGGAATGATTGTTTTTCTTGTTTTTGTTTTACTCTTGTAATAGCCCTGTGTAAGGGCTGACAGTATCTGTAAATAAAAAATAAAATATGAAAAAGCAGTTTGCCAGAATTGCAACTACTGATGCCTTGGTTCTTTGGTTCTGCTTGCTCATTGCATGAAGAGGGCTTCGAATTTTGCCATGTAGTATAGAGCAGTTTATTAGTGAGCTCACTGCTACTGTGCTCTCATGGTGTCAACTGACACCTGCTTCTTAAAGGACATTGCAAATCAGATGCCGCGGTTGTGATTGGCATTCATTCTCGGATATTATCACGTACACAAACACTCGACAAAGCAGCCATTATCGTTCTCAACCGCCAAAATGTGCTCTTTCAGGAAGTGAGATGGATGAAGAGGAGATGAGTAGTGAATCTGACGACAGCAATGACTCGTGGACTACGCAGAACGAGTTCATCTCGGAGTTCATTATGAGGTGTGTTCATTGCAAGTTGCTTTTCTTTATGTGTTGCTGCCTTGGCCTGTACCTCTTATGAAGGCACACTTGCTGCTGATGCGTGTGAGGTCATGGGTTTCAGTTGCATCCACTTGCTTTGAAACAGGTGACTGTTTGAGCACTTGTACTGCAGTATTTCTCATTGTTTACAGGTTCTTTGAGCTTAAATACACCTAACAAAAGAATTGAAAGAAAAAATATGGTTTATTTACTTGATACAAATTATTCACAATACAAGAAAGTGTCTTCATAGAATTGTCTGCAGTTTGTTAGATATTTGTAGAATCTGCAGAACTTGTGTTGCTGTTGGGTCGGTTTAATAGCTTTTGACATGGTCGTGTCCATGGGAAGCCTTCATCCCGTCGGCTAAGGTTGATGACTATCAGCGACATCTTGCAGTACCTGAAGTAAATAAAGTAATCTGACACAGCGGTTGGTAAATTCCGCAACAACTGGTGTGTGCAAACCATACCCACAATGTTGAAGCGATGCTTACTTGTTGCTGCTAATCTAGATTCCAAGTTGGCTCAGCTACTAGGCTGAACTTCTTTTTTGAAATTAGATGCCTTCGCAAAAAGTATTACTTTCGACAATTTTTTTTGTGACGTCTTCATGTCCCTCTTACTGACATAATATTAGTAGTGGAAACGATGTCATTTGCTTTATGGGCTCTAATATGAAACTTTTTGTCTTAAACTATTAGTTTAGACACACCAAAAAATGTTAGCATCGAAAATATACTGAAGCAAAACTGTTAGCCTGCCTAGTTGCAATGAATTCATCTTTTAGCCACTTGCCTGACCAAACAAACATGTATGACAAACAAGCGCAATCTAACAACTGGTTTTTGAAAAAACATCTGCTCCAGTAGGCAACATGATCTCTGCAGTCTTGTCAAGAAACACATCCCTCATGCATATAACAATCACGTGTGATTATAACGCTTGGTATTATCGCGCTGACAGCAACAGACTACGTCAAATGCACTTCTAAAGAGTGTCTACTAACCCATCTTAGACCCATCTGGAAAAGTCGGGAAATTTCCGGAAAATCTGTCCAGGTCATGGAAACTTATCGCAGTTCGTGCGACAGCTATAAAAATAAGCATTCCTCTATATAAAAGCTGAAAAATGTCACTCCTTTCGCTGAAACTACAGTGAACAGCTAGAAGAGGTATGAAAAAATAAAAGGCAGTGCATAACTGTTGCTTCTTAGCTTAAACATGAAAGGATGCACCGACCAAAAAAGCACAGTTTATCGACTTTCGGGCACCCGATAAGGGAGCCTTGTTCACAAAAGAGGCCATAAGAAAGGCACAGCATATTAACTACGCCTAAGTATGTGACGTAGCACCTAGAGTACATCGTCAGAGGTGTCTCATCGCTCGTGTTCAGCGTATGTGCATTCGTATGCGCTGGGATTCCAGGTGCGGGCATGCTGCAGGCTTGTTTTCTTTGGGCAGAATACACATGCTTGACCAGTCAATTCGGTGACTTGTAGACTTCACGTGTTCAGCAAGGGCATTTGAGAGCACGCGTCATTTCGTGACATCTATTCGTATTGTTTAACTCTTTTCTTAAAATCCCCTGTCTCACCAATGTAGTGGCGTAAACAAGACAGGAGAAATTTTTGCTTAGCGACTGGTCCTTCATGTTAACTAAAGCATTCCTTAGCTTCGATGTTCGTAGATGCACTATTTTGATGTCTGTTGCTTCTGTATATCACACAGCATATCTGACTTTCAAAGCATAATATTACTTACGGTAAATTTTTGCATGTTTGTCTTGACCACAATTTCGAATTAGCTTGAAGGCCTTTTTGTTTTAGAGTAGAACTGCCATCAGCAGAGGCTTGCCGGGCTATGTCATGCTTATTGGCAGTGCAATGACAAGCATCCTCAGCTACACAATTATCGCTGGTAGCTCGGGTTTCGAGAGTGGTATTGGTTAACTTTAGCTAAAATTCTCATCTCGATTCCTTTAGGTGGTGTCATTAAATCTGTGAATATTTCTCGGGATCACGTCCATAGAAGTGCACGTAAACGAAGATAAGACGCCGGCATCTGTGATTCAATTATAGAATCGAGGAAGCTGTTGCGGGCTGACAGATTGTTTCTTGCCACTACATACTCAAACGTTTCAAACACTACCTTCAGTTTTTATTACAGGCATCTGTAGACTATCATAATGCTTGAAAGATCAGAGCCCAGAGAAATAAAATACCAAATTGCATGGGCTCATCGTGTTCAAAAAAAGAGAGAGAGAATTTTGCTGAGCAGTGAATTTTAGAGATGTGCAAATTAGGCGGTAATGCAAATAAGTAGTAAGTACAACAATCCAGTTCAGATCAGATCCAATCCAATCCACACCCTAAGCGGCCTGGGCTGTTGCTGTTACATCCCAGTGGCGGAACCGGCCAGGCTTCCGCGTCCTCCTTTTACACGGATGCTGCGAGATGGTGCCACTTCTACATTTTCTAGCAGCTTTGGCTGCGTTGTCGGACTCTTCCGGGCTCCTTGAAACGTGCAGCTACGGTTCATTTTAACTCATGTGTGCCTCCTGGTTCTGTCGAAGATCCAACTACAGCCAACTTGGTCGCTGCCTCACTCAGAGGTTTTATTTTGACCAAATATACATACTTTTTTTTATTAACCACATGTGCTCAAAACATTCAGAGCTTGTGCGGTATATATGTTTAGGTATTTTATATGGAGCACCTGATATATATGCATATAGTGGGAGTAATAATTCAATGGGCCAGTTAGTATTCGTGAAGGTATGGGATATGGCACAACGGGACCGTTGTCAACAAGGATAAATATATTTATTTCCCAACAGTTTCGGGAGGGGTCCTCCCTTCATCAGGGGATGAGTTATAACTCATCCCGTGATGAAGGGAGGACCCCTCCCGAAACTGTTGGGAAATAAATATATTTATCCTTGTTGACAACGCTGCCGTTGTGCCATATCCCATGTATATATATATATATATCAAATGCATTATTCGAAGGTCGTAGGTTCGATTCCTGCTCACGGCTGGTTATTTTTCACCCACTTTCTTATTTACATTCCATTGATTCTAATAACTTCCCCTATACATTCCTTGGCATTACTGTCTGTTAGATCTCATTAATATTGTGTCAAAACACGGAAAAACAAGCCCTTAAATATGCACTTCTTTCCCTTATATATATATATATATATATATATATATATATATATATATGAGATCCAACAGACAGTAATGCCAAGGAATGTACAGGGGAAGTTATTAGAACCAATGGAATGTAAATAAGAAGAAAGAAAAGTGGATGAAAAAATAACCAGCCGTGAGCAGGAATCGAACCTACGACTTTCGAATAACGCGTTCGATGCTCTAACCACTGAGCTACCACAGCGGCCTTCCCTCCATCCACTTTTTTGGGTTTATATTTGAATATAGAAGTAGGAGTGTCAGTAAGCGCCATCTATAAGCCAAGCGACGAGTGTGAAACACTCTTTTATGCGCATGTTTGGCGTCACGTAGCACATGAACTTATTACGAGCGGGCAGCTGATTAATATTCCCTCGTATACAACCTAATGACACCAAGTCTGCCACTACGAGACCCTCGTTAATGAATAAGGGAAAGAAGTGTATACCTAAGGGCTCGTTTTTCCGTGTTTTGACACAATATTAATGAGATCTAACAGACAATAATGCCAAGGAATGTACAGGGGAAGTTATTAGAACCAATGGAATGTAAATAAGAAGAAAGAAAAGTGGGTGAAAAAATAACCAGCCATGAGCAGGAATCGAACCTACGACCTTTGAATAACGCGTTTGATGCTCTAACCACTGAACTATCACAGCGGCCTTCCCTCCATCCACTTTTTTGGGTTTAAATCCATCCACTTTTTTGGGTTTAAATGTGAATTTAGAAGTAGGCGTGTCAGTCAGCGCCATCTATAAGCCAAGCGACGACTGTGAAACACTCTTTTATGCGCATGTTTGGCGTCACGTAGCACGTGAACTGATTACCAGCGGGCAGCTGATTAATAGTCCCTCGTATACAACCTAATGACACCAAGTCTGCCAGTACGAGACCCTCGTTTTAATGAAATAAGGGAAAGAAGTGTATACCTAAGGGCTCGTTTTTCTGTGTTTTGACACAATATTAATGAGATCTAACAGCAGTAATGCCAAGTACAGGAGAAGTTATTAGAACAAATGGAATGTAAATAAGAAGAAAGAAAAGTGGGTGAAAATAAAGTGGGAAGGTGGGTGATCTCATCAATATTGTGTCAAAACACGGAAAAACGAGCCCTTAGGTATACACTTTTTTCCCTTATATATATATATATATATATATATATATATATATATTTTCACACGAGGGTTTGTTTCCAGTGTGCCGACTCTACCCAACAGATGGGATGGTCGTTGAGGAAAAGATTGAATTTGCTTTTAATTATCATGGAAAACCTTTAAAAGTCAGGTAGTTCGAAAAAATCGAATCGGTAGACACCCTGTTCTAGCAAACAACTAGGAAAAATGAGAATTTGCCATCAAAGGTATGAGGAAAGGAGTGAAGTTTGTAATGAAGCAAGGGCAGGATGGCTGACACACTTTTGTTTTAGTTCTTCAATCCAGTGGGCTTCCACAATCTCTTGCTGTTTGATTTCTGTGTTCAAAATATGAAGAACTGTGCTTTGCATCCTTAGTGGTAAAAGATTAGTAGAAATCTTACGAAATAATTAACAGCGGGGCGAGCTAAATAAACGGGGTGTTCTTTTTCCAAGACTTTACAAATTTTTCATAAAACTTTTCTGACATTCAGGCTCCTGAAGTTTCTGCACATGAACTCCCCATCAGGACAGAAATAATTTGCCACAGCTGAAGGGATATTGATGTTAGTAATCAACGAGAACTTGTTAAATAACTATCTGATTATTCACTTTGTGATAGCTTAGCGTAAAAAGTTGTAGTTCAGGAAAATTC